CCTTTTAAAACTCTTGCTGATGTTGTTGTTGTTAGGTGCTGTCAAGTACCACCCATAGCGACCCTATGAACTACAGATCTGAACCCTGACCTATCCTGTGCCATCCTCACACTTCCTGACACACTAGTCCCCATTGTGGCTGTCACCATGTCAATCCACCTGGTTGAGGGTCTTTCTCTCTCTTGCCAACCATTAGCCTTTGCAAGCACGGTGTCTCTCCCCAAGGAATAGCTCCACCTAGCAACGTGCCCGAAGTAAGCGAGGCAAAGCTTTATCACCTTCGCCTCCAAAGAGTGTTCTGGCTGCACTCTCTCCAAGACAGATGGAGAAAAGATTGAAACTATCCCTGCTGATAATATGTGCCGTTGATGTGATATCCCACTTCTTTGATTTTTAACAGTGAATGAACACATACACCTAATTGTAAAAAAGACAAGCAGTCTCCACATCACACCCTGTGTTAGTACTCCTGGGGCAGGCCTTCTCTGGGTCTGTCTGAATCAGAGTCCAAATGTCCCAGAGCAAACCAGAGTATTGTTCTGAGTCATTTAAGGAAGTCCGAGTGAGCAAAAGATACAGTGGAAGCATGTTGTACCATGGCCAACGCCTGCCTTTGGACTTGAGCTCTTCTACTAACATTCCATTATCACACCTAAAACAACATTTTCTCTATGACATTAAAAAGTTCCCTCCCTCCCTTCCTTCTTCTCAGAGGCTCAGTGTTTTTAGTTTATCATTATCTTGCTTCCTTAAGTGATTCTGCCTTCTTGGAAAATTAAATATAGGTCAGGAATTTTTCCTTATAGGATTCTAAAAATAAAATCAACACTCATGCCCTTTTCCTGTAAGAGGGACCTGGTTTACCTTTTCTGTGTTTAGGACCTCTCTGGTAGCAGTTGGAGTTGAAGAGGGTGGGTGGCTTGGGTGGTCGAGAAGCTGTCTTTGCTTCAGAGGGCACATACAACAGACCCTTGGGCTGTCTGTCTGTCTGTCTGTCTGTCAGGCTTTTGGACCCACTGCTGGTCCTAACTGTTTAATCTTGTCCCCAGAATTTAGGAGGTGCCCTCAACTCTGGCTAGTCCAGGGTAAAGACGGGACTGTCTATAGCCTCCTCTAGGCCAGACAGCCCATTTCCAATGATCCAGTTGGTCAGGTGCACAGGTGCCAGTCCTGGTTCAAACTCAACACCAGATCGGATTGATTATCTATTCAGAGGAACTTTTTAAACTTGTGCTAATTGCCATTCTTAAAATTTGTGAGATGTCCCAAAAAAAAACAGACTTCTGGCATTTCTTTTAAAAAAATGACAGGGGACTGGTGGGTGCTGGAGCCCTAACCTCACACTGGGGGAGACCACCAGTCCATTTTAGCTGAGCCCATGCCTCTGCTCCCCCAGGAGTTTTTGTGTCCCACCCACTAGCCAGTGTAGCACCCCAGACTGCCAGCCAAATCCTTGCTATGCTCGTTCCCTTGGTGCAGAACGGAGCACAGGACCAGCCTGCCTGTCACAGAGCTCCCAGGACCCTGACGGGGCCTTCCCATGTGTTCAGACCAAACTTCCTGGCTCTCTGGCTTGAGTCTTGATTGTTGAGGACCCCTATGGGCGGTTGAGGGTCTCATTTAGTATGCAGGACAGCGATTTGGGTTGAAGGTGAATCGTGTTACTACTTAAATGTGCAGCTCCCTCTTGGGCTGACTGACTTCAGGGTAAGACTTGGCAGTCTGCGCCTCGCCAGAGAGTTGCTCATGCCTCTCAGAGCATGTGATCGACATGAAGCGTGGTGTCAGCCATGTCCCCCTGCCCGGTCAATGACCCGGGTGGTCACTGGGCAGCAGACCTACGTTTTAATCTCTTCCCTTCCGTTTTGAGCTCCACAGTGTAGCTTTTTGATGGCGCTCATGCTTTGAGCTGGGTCACAGGAGCAGGAAGGGCTCACTCCCTTGTTTTGTCACCTCTGAACAGGCTGAGAATCCAGACGAGGACTGGAGGTGGTGGTGGTGGTCTGACCTTTTTTCAGCGGAGCAGCGGTCTGGGGCATCTCTTGCGCACCAGAGTCATCTTATTGTTCTAAAGGCAGGCAAGTCTCCGGACTTGGCATTTCCTGTCTCCCATCTTACCTTGTCTGACAGCGGGAGTATTGTTGGTGAGAGAGCAGAGGAATTTCCTGTTCCTAAGAGAAATATGTCCCAACTAATATGAATGACACCTCAACAGCAAGATTACAAAAATTCTCAAAATCAGACCACACATAGCATGACGAATAGTGGAGAAAATATTAAAGTTAAGTATTTCATTCCACTTGCATACACCAGCAGTGCCCTTAGAAGCAGAAGTTGGGAGATTAAATGATGTTTTCCATTGAGCAGATCTGCTGTCAAAGCCAACAAAGCAACGAGGCCACGCTGAGGACTGAGACGCGGCTGACCCCAGCCCTATTTTCAGCCACCTCCTACTCGTGTGTAAGCTGGGCGATGACGAGGCACGGAGACCCGAGAAAAACGGAAAGCTTTGAATGATGGTGTTGGCAGCAAATACGGAGTTGGCTGCCAACAGAACAAACGTGTCCATCTTGGAAGAAGTTCAGTCAGAGTACTTGTTGGATGGGAGGATGGCGTGGCCATCTCACTCGCTCCGAACACGTTATCAAGAGAGACCAGTCTCTGCAAGAAGATGCCATGCTTGGTAGAGAGTTCCGTGAAAAAGAGGAAGACCCTCCACAAGGTGGACTGGCGCAGTGGCCGCCAGAGGGGACTCGCGGACAGCAGCACTTGTGAGGATGGCTCAGGGGGCAGGTGTTAGAGCTTGTCATGTGTAGGGTCACCCAGGCCAGAGCCAAGCTCCACGGCACCCCACAACAGCCACCACTGTTCGTCAGGCGAGCCAGTGCCGCTGGAGCCATACGAATGAGAGCGGATTGCCTTTCTTTTCAGAGTTTATTTACCTTTTGTTTTCAGCTGTTAATCTCCCTGTACAGGGTCATATGCGGTGCTGTGATTTTCCCCTTTTGTAAGTGGAAAGTTAGCCACTATAGTAGCCTTGTTTCTAAAACTTGGCAGAAGAGAATTTGTTGATTTAAAAAACAAACAAACAAAGCCACAAAAATCCTGCACTTCTTCAAATGAAATAGAGACGCCATTTCTTTGACTCACAGAAGAATAGTGGGAGGAATCCATTGTAGGATTATAAGAAGACTGGGATCAGTGGAAAACTGTTATGACTCAAATTCTGAGCAAGCAAAGAACCTGTGTTAGACTTTGTAAAGGCTGTGAAGAAAAGATGCATTGCCTTTCTTGATAAAAACACTTGTCTCTCTTTTTGCATTACAAGAGTAATACGTGGTGATTATAGGAAAATTTATAATTAAGGAAACATACAGAAAAGGGAGTAAAAATAACTTGTTCTCCATACTCAGACCTTATACTCTCTTTTTGGCCTAGTGAAGTCTGCTCTCCTGCCTCCCTTATATCCAGAAACGACAGTAACAGATGAGAACTTTCTATGACTTATCTTTATACTTACTTTCCCAACAGTTCACGAATAGATGTTCTTCTTCCTGCCTCATTGCTGTTGAGTTGGAACCAGCTCATAGCTGAAACCCTCCAGTGAGTTTTTCAAGACTATAAATTGTGTGAGTGGAAATCGTTCTCCTGAAGAATTACAGGTGGATTCAAACTACCAATAAAATGCAACCTTTAGATTAACAACATAAATCCCTGTGGCCACTAGAGTTTGTAGCAGGCCCACTATATAGACATTTTAGCTTAAAATCAAAAAAAGGTGTGTCAGGGTTGTATCCTTTAGCCATACCTATTCTGTCTGTATCTGAGCAAATCGTTCTAGAAGCTGAACCGTATAAAGAAGAATGTGGCATTGGCATGAGAGGAAGACTCATCAACGATCTGCATTATACGGATGACACAACCTTGCTTGCAGAAAGTGAAGCAGACTAAAGTACAAGAAAGCAAAAATCCTCGGCATTGGACCAATAGTGATAGCGCATTGTGATAGAGAAAAGTCACGTTGTCTGTGACTTCATCTTATGTGGATACACAGTCAACACTGGGGGCAGCAGCAGGCAAAAAAATGTGTTACATTAGGAAAATCTTTTGTCAGAGACCTCTCCAAACTGCTAAAGAAGAAGGATATCACTTTAAAGATTAAAGTGCACCTGACCCAAGCCAAGGTATTTACAGTTGCTTTCTATGCATCTGAAAGTTGCAGATGAATAAAGAAGAAGAATTGATACTTTTAAATTGTAGCATTGGTGAAGAGTGTTACATATTGCCTGGACAGCCAAAGAACAAACAAGTCTGTCTTGGAGGCAGTGCATCCAGACTGCCCCTTAGATACAAGAATGGTGAGACTTTATCTCACATACTTCACGCATGCTCAATAAAGACCTTATGCTGGGAAAGATGGAGGGTCAGAGAAAGAGAAGACCCTCAATGAGATGGATTGACACAGTTACTTGAACAGTGGCTCAGGCAGTGAAGAGAAGGTGAGGATGGTGCAGAATTGGACAAGATTCCAGCCTGCTTGTTCCTCAAATCTCGTGGTTGGTTTGATGGTGCCGACCAACAATATATAGTATAGTAGGAACCCCAGTTTCAATGTGTGAAGGATCAGTTGCTCAGATTTTAGCAGCAGCTCCGCAGAGGAAAGGTCGGGTGATCCATACTTAAAAAGATTTACAGCCTCACAAACCCCACGGGGCAGTTCTTTTGTGAGTTGGAATGAAGTTGACCGCAGTGAGTTTGGGTTGAGGTTGTACGTATGTGACTACTGAGGCTTAACGGGAAAGTCACCTCAGGGTCAGCCGGCTGGTGATGAAGCGGCCAGAGAAGGGGCCCCTGAAATGCCTTGGGAGTCACAAGCATCCCTTCCCTTCCCTTTCCATGATACACTTAATACCCAAGGGCGGTGTGCAGGATTATTTATGTGCCCCATGGCAGACACATCTTCAGCTCTGTGTGTGTTTATCCTGTGTGCCCCTCTCTAGGCATCATGGCCATCCTGTTCTCTGGCATCGTGATGTCCCACTACACGCACCATAACCTGTCCCCAGTCACCCAGATCCTCATGCAGCAGACCCTGCGGACCGTGGCCTTCATGTGCGGTGAGTGCTGGCTGTGCGGCCTGCAAGGCCTGCCGGGTACAGGCCAGGCCGCCCTTCCCACTCTTTTCAGGGAGTCAGTTTGGATTTTCCATGGCAGGACAGGCGGCTGGATTCCTCAGAGGCAGTTCCTTCACTTCACTTATATTTTGTTACTCTGGCTTTCAAAGTCCATAAAACAAATGCGATAACACCCGGTAAATGGAACATTTGAGGCCTACAATTCTAAGACCAAAAAAAGTAAGAACTACTAATGATGAACATCTGAGATTTGTATTTACTAAAAATTAAGTATTAACATGGCATTTCTGAACACGTATTCTTTGGAACTTATGGTGAAAAAAAGGTTACTTAAGGGGCCCAAAAAAAGTGCCTGGGGGATGTTGGGCTGGCTGAATCAAACCTACTGAGTTTATGAACTCTAGGAGATTTCAGAATCAACATGCTAGTATGTGTACGAATTTTTCTCAGAGCAAGAAACAGCTAAAGCATTCCCCAGACTCATCCATGTGAAGTCAGAACATCTTGAAGGACATGAACTTGGGCAATTCTCTACTAGCATTATCAGTGGTTGGGATCAATATTCATGATATACTCCTTTTATGCACTGCCCTTCCTCCTCCCACAAGCAGACACATACGCATATGGACACTTCTTTTCCCCATTCACCCATTTATGTGAGAAGTGCAGGAACCAGCCTCACATTGTCTCTTTAAGCTGACCTCCATGTGGCTGGCTGTGTCCTAGCAGCAGCATCAACGTCCTCTGGATTCTAAAGCACTGACTTCCACTTTTACATCCAGGGAGGCAGGCCGCCCCGGGGTGTCACCCCTATGAACAGCCCAGGAAGCTTAGGCATGAAAGGTTAAATCCCTGGCCCACAGTCTCCGAGCTGAGGGGTGATCTGGAAGCCAGGTCACTTCATTCCTGGTCCAGAGGGTATTTTTTTCAGAGCTCCCTTTTCAAAGAGTCGTGGTTCATGGAATTCAGACATTAAACCTTAAAACTATCTCCTAAAGTCTTTTTAACACCAGACAGTAGGTCAGCTTTACTAGGAAAAGATGTCCAACTCAAGCACTTACAGTGAAACTAATGTACAAGCAAAACATCCATCAAGTCCTCTGTTGATGCATCAGATGGGCAAGTTTTGAGTTTGATGATAGTCACTTCTGACACAGAAAAGCAGACTCCACTGACAAGAGAGTGTTGGTGACACTGTCCCCTGAAAAGTCCTTGGTGGCATCGTGTAAACTTTGACCCAACAGTTCCCTCATCAGGAATTACCCTGTGCACAAAGATAGTTGTTACAGTTTTAATAGCAGAACTAGACAGAGTCTCAGTCCTCACTGAAGATTAGTTAAATTGTCCGTCTCCTAGACTGCCTGCCACCAGGGAAACACATTAAATCAGTCTGAATGTGTCGTGAATGCGCTGGTCTGTACACATCACAAAAACATTATTAGATAAGAGAAAAATTCAAGGAGGAGCACACGGCCCAGCCGGGAACTTGTTTTGAAAAGAGACATTTGAAACAAGCTTTGGTAATGTGTTATGAACAGCCTTACCATTTTATGATGATCAGCTGTTTTAAAATACAGTCCTTGTCTCTCACTAGCTCCTTGCTTATTCTGGGGACTCCGTTTAAGCAGGAAGCATGGTATTAGAAATATACAAGATACCTTTTCTTACAATACGTAAGTGACTGCTTGTACGACACAAGTCAGTGTCAGGTCCCTGCTTGCAGAGTTGAGCCAAGAATTGGACTTGCAGCCCTCCCAGCACCCCTTGCTGGGTTTAAGCCACATTTCAAGCCTGGTGGTGGCTGTCCGATATGTTAAATCAATCACTGGCTCTGTCTACTCCGGAAAGGAAGTTAACAAAAGACAAGTCCCATGGCTTCTGTAGTCATGAGCCCTGATTTTTTGCCACTTTCCTTGCTAATCACAGTGTTCGGCAAATGGAGAGATTCGTATATTTATCATCTCCCTGCTGTGAGATGGCGTTTGTTTGCTTAAGTATTTGACAGTTAGTTGGCTCATTAAATGAGGAAGTTCAGAAGAGCAGGAATTTGATGCTTTGTGTAATAGGAGAGAATCTCAGCCTAGTGGATTGGTTTCAAGATTTTTAAAAAAATAAGTAAAGTTTTATATGGGGTTTTCATTACTTCTGACTGCTTGCTTGCTTAATGGTTTAGTATCATATTGAGGGGAAAATAGCTGGACTGAATAATCCATTCTTTGGTTTGTTTCAGAAACATGTGTGTTTGCATTTCTTGGCCTGTCCATTTTTAGTTTTCCTCACAAGTTTGAAATTTCCTTTGTCATCTGGTGCATAGTAAGTATTTTCCTTGCTTTTTATTTAATTACTTATTTGTAGATTAATAACCACACGTTCTGGATCCATTTATGTAACTGGTTACTAGTCACAGTCAACAGCTACATAGGCACTCTTCTGTTTAGTGTTTATTTTGTTTAAAAAAAATCACAAGCATACTGTTAAGGGGTATGAAATACGGCATTAAGTGACTGAATATCCCTAGTAAAGGACTTTTATTTATCTTTAAATGTTCAATGATCTGGAATGTTATGATCATCTTTTAAAAGTACCAGTTATGTGCTCACTTCGGCAGCACATGTACTAAAACTGGAATGATAGATTAGCACAGCCCCTGCACAAGGATGACACGCGCATTCATGAAGCATTACATATTAAGAAGAAAAAGTACGAGTTGTGCAGGTGGTTTGGTTTGGTTTTCAGGTTAGATGGAAAGATACAGATTTTAAAACTGAATATGTAATTGATCATTTCATGTAAAACCATTATGCATAGAAACAAAAATTTGTAAAGAAATTAAAGCAAAATGTGGGAATTACTTTCTACTTCTCTGGGTTGTGTGAAACATCTTTCTTTTTTAGCGCCGTTTTCTTCTATTATGTCTGATTAGAAGTGCAACCTTGAACACTTGTTTAAAGCTTGTCAGACCCTTACCTGCCTCAGAGCCTCACCCAGAGGAAACCACTCCGGTGCTGAGAATTTGCATTCCTACCCTCCCACCCCCTACCCCTGCCTGTATATACTGACTCAGAATTCAGTATATCTGGGAGATGGAAATGCACATTCTCAGGAGGGGTTGAACGAGAATGAACTGGTTCGCAGCCCTGCCTAAATGATTCTTAAGATCAAGAAAGTTTGGGAAACTGCATTTAATTGTATGGGGAGGGAGGTGACAAATTCAAGTACACCTTTTAAAAAAGGAAGATAGAAGTTCAGTCTTTTTGGAGAATTGACTGGAGAGAAAAGAAATGTTTAGCATTTAAAAAAGGCCTGGCGCTCCTACCCATCTGACTGGCCTATACCTGCGATGGCTTCAGCACTTGGGCAGAAAGGCTGGTTCTTCCCTCAGTCGCCTTCCCTGTGTGTTGTCTTACCTCCTGAGCGCCATGATGCTAGTCAAGCCTGTGTGTGCTTGGATCCCTCACGTGATCCCTGGTGTCTTGTTAGATCCTCTGTTAACTTAAGGCTCTGAGGAAACATGCTATATTATTACCATAATTTGTCCTCACTTATGTCATCAACTCCATTTAACAAAGCCCAGCCATTTGGGGGAGCCACTTTTTTGTTGTTCTTGTTAGGAAAGTGCTGTTAATCTACCATGTCCAAAGCAGTGAGGCGCTAGTTTGACTTTTCAGAAAACTGAAGTCGAGAGAAGCTAAGAAAACGGAAGTTAAAAAAATCATCTTCTCTTACAGTCAGCAAAATCTCATTGCCGTTTGTCCCATTATCCCTCTGTCCTCCAAACCCAGGTGTCAGGACAAGAGACTGGCAGTGAAAGTCTTTTACACAAAGGTTAATAGTCTTTAGTGTGGTCACCAGGTACCCCCGTTGGTCAAACCTGAAACACAGATGTGAGAACAGGGAGTTGGATGTCCACAGGTGAAGGGAGGTACCTTTCTCAGCCGTGCTCCAGCGCAAAGATGGGCGGAAGGATGCCCTACGTGGGAGCTCAGTTTCCCCAGAGCACATGGTCACAGCTTGGCCCTGAGGCCTGTGCTACTCACAACGATGACAGGGCCCAGCAGGTGGACACGGCTCCAAGGCTAAGAGCTCAGGCACGAGAATCGGAGATAGATTTGAGATGACCCCTTTGGACCAAAAGATCCTTTACTTCTCACCATCTCTGCATCCTTGCCTATAAATTGGGGACAGTAGTACATAACTTCATCAGACCACCACAAAGACATTGGCTGGTCGAGCAGTGTGTGACGATTGGCAGTGGTTACTAGTAACTGCACTGTGGGAAGACCCAGCCCAGAAAGCATACTCCATCTGTTCTGTTGAAAGGACTTAGAACCCAAAAAATGGACACGTGTGTGTGCTCCTCATGTCTAGTTAATTATAGTTAAAACCAAAATGTACAAAGAAAGTGAATACAGATTAATAAATAATCCTAAGAACCCACTTAGATAAGATTTCAACTTTCAGTTCTTTTTTGGCAAGACAAGTGTGCCTTTGGAGACATTTGAGCTCTGTCTCAGTTACCAGGTGCTGCTACAGCAGAAATACCACAAGGGAGAGCCTTTACCAAGCCGACCACTGCAGCCTTGCCTGTGAAGTTTCCCTCCCAGCTACGGACAGCTCATGTTCAAAGCTCTCCCCTCTTCCGGCCACACGGAAGCTGCAGTCCACATACCCCTGTCCATTTATGCCCCGGGAATGCTGTGCTCAGGGCAAGTGTGTCCCCAGGTCGGGAGAGGCCGAGCTGCCGTCTCACACTGACCGTTTCCTCCTCACAGGTGCTCGTGCTGTTTGGCAGAGCAGTGAACATCTTCCCGCTTTCCTACCTCCTGAACTTCTTCCGTGACCATAAAATCACACCGAAGATGATGTTTATCATGTGGTTTAGTGGTGAGTGGGACTTGAATCGGCGGGGGAGAGAAGAGCAGGCTCCCTGCACAGAGAGTGAGCGTGGGGCGGCTCCCTGCTCGAGCCCCTGGAAAACAAACTGAGCTCCTCACCATAAATAGTAAGAGTTCCTCTATCTCTGGCACCGTCTCTGCCCTGCAGGGTCTCTGCGAGTTGGCACTCACTCAGTGACAGTGGGATTTCTGTGGCTAGAAAGCAAAGCCCTGGTGGCATCGTGGTTAAATGCTCAGCTGCTAACAAAAAGCTTGGTGCTCTGCAAAAGAGAAACGTGGTGATCTGCTTCTGTGGGGGGTTACAGTCTTAGAAACCCCTGTCCTGTCACGTGGCTGGGAGTCAGAGTCGACTTGAGGTCAATGGAATTGGTTTGGTGACTGAAAAGCAAGTTCTGAGTGATGGTGGTAACAGTGGTTACCAGTGCTGGGAAGTGGGCAGTGCCAGGCCTCTTCTATGGATAAGGAAGTTCAGGTTCAAAGAGGAAAAAGGCTGGCTTAATGCATGTGACTCTGTCCTTGGTCCTTGACCTGAGGGTACAGTCCCGCATGAGATTTGAATGACTGCAGTCTGAGCCTGGGTATTTTCCAGGTTGAAAACATATTTGCTCAAAATAAAAGCGTTAGAAGTGTGAACTCTGCTGTATTCCATGCTCGATCTGGATGTTTTCTTTCAGTCACACTGAGTGCAGATACTTTAAAGGTTTCCTATTTATGTAAAAGCTTCAGCTCAAGTTCTGCTTTTTAAAGACTGGGGATAATTTCCTAAATCTTTGGCTCCTTAGAGATCTTTAAATTAACTTTTGAGCGATGCAGACCGTTCTTTCTGCCTTCTTGTTTAAGTATTATAATTAAAGTATTTCCGTGTGGGTTGGGGCTTAACAACAGGCTTTATAAAGCTCTGCTCTCTCCAGCAGTAGATCTTTAAGCTGTAAATTTGTCTCATATTTCTCTTCTCTTTCAAAAGACTTAGTTAAGAAAAGTGTGTGTGTGTATTTATAATGAGAGCAGCTCTGCTTCTCTTCATTCTTTTTTTGCCAATGAGAAAGAATACTGGTTGGTTTTTGAAAACCAATTCCAAAATGGCTTTGTTTCTGTGAAAGGCTTGACTGGAGGCTTTTGAATCTGAGTGGAGACTTGGGATCTTGTTGCTAACAGTGACCTTCCACTCAGCCTGCTTTCTGACCTGTAACCCTTCCATGGGACACATCTGTCCTTGTGTCCTGTCACTCCCTCCTGCCCAGGGCCCTTCAGACACTGTCCAGGGCCCCTCTCAGAGTCACTTGCTGGGTCTCATCTAAAGGCACTTGGCTGGTTGGGCCCCACCCTAAACCCTAGTAGCACACAGCCTGCCTCTGGCCTCTGGCCGGTTCCTGGTTGGAATGCTGCTCTCTTCAACCCTCTCCCCACCAACCTGCTCTGAAATGTTAGTGAGGTGTCTGGGTATGAGGGCAGGTCCTGTCCCGGTGTGCAAAGCCCACCCAGTCAGGCCTTTCTCGTCACATCCTCTTCCACAGTCCGGGAGCACCCTGCAGGCAGGCCGGTGACTCCCGTGAGCCCGAGGGCTGCTCACAGAGCACAGTGTTGTTTCTCAGCTGGCGCCCTGATCCAGACTCGGAGGGCAGTTCAGAGAGGGTTGGTGCTGTGGCACCTGGCAGCTTGTCTCCCGCTAGAGACGCCGAGGGCACGCTGCGTACTGATGGCACAGGAGACCCAGCAGTGCCTGCTTGTGTGCTGTTACCTGGGTGGGCTGCGTGGCGCAGGCAGGGCACTTGGTTGGTGCAGCCTCCATTCCTCGGGGGCACCTCCCTCAGGGAGAACCTCACAGCTGCCACAGGGTTTCTTGGGTCAAACAAGTGCAGTTGCGTTCAGAGCGTTTCGATGGGGCTGACCGTGCTCTGTGCTGAATGTGGGCTTGGTTGGCTCTTAGCACACGCGCTCTGTACCTGGCCAGGCTGCCTCGGGGATCTGCTCTGTGATTCTGGGGTGTGGAGCACAGGTGAGGTGTTAGCAGCCCCACTTCTCAGGTCACAGCACTCGCTCGTAGGTGAGGCAGGCTCTCAGCGGGCTGGGACGCTGAGGCCAGTGGTCAGAGGTGCCACCACGTCCCCCTCTCCTGTGTCCGTGTGTCCGCAGGCCTGCGGGGCGCCATCCCCTACGCGCTGAGCCTGCACCTGGATCTGGAGCCCATGGAGAAGCGGCAGCTGATCGGCACCACGACCATTGTGATCGTGCTGTTCACCATCCTGCTGCTGGGCGGCAGCACCATGCCCCTCATCCGCCTCATGGACATCGAGGACGCCAAGGCCCGCCGCAGGAGCAAGAAGGACGTCAACCTCAGCAAGACGGAGAAGATGGTGAGTGGGGCGCGCGGGTGCGGGCCACTGAGAGGCCTCAAGACACCCAGCATCCCGCCCGCCACACCCTGCCCACTCTCTCCCACACGGGCCAGGGCCCAGCCTCGCAGGAGGCTGAGGAGACTGGAGTTGGGAAGCATGACTCTGGGGTAGACCTGCCTGTGACCTGGAGTCATAAGAGGCTGTGGGCTGGTCCCTCTGTGTATCTGCAAGGGCACCACAGATAGGAGGGGCCAGCTGCCATGCCACCCACCGGACCCTAGGACTGGACGCTGTCAGAACAGCTCATGCTGTGACCTGAGGGACAGTGGCTTGCAGTGGCTGTGAGGACACGATTGTCACCTTATGTGCTCAAGGCCCAGCTAAAGTGGAGACGAAATTCCGGGAGGCCTCCCTGCCCCCCTTCCTCTCCCCGGCACTTCACCCTGTCTGCACCTCCAAGCCCGACGTGCTGAACCAGGCTCCATCCTGCTCCTCACAGGGACATACCCTGTGCCTTCCCAGCCCACACCTTCTTCTCTCCACACCATCGTTAGCTCAGTCACGTGAAGGTAAGGGGAGGTGTAGGGGTCACCACAATATTGGAGAGCCGAGTTCAGACCAGCCCCAGATGACACTCCTATCCTGTCCCCCCGCCCAGTGCAGTGGTGCTAGAAGGACACCATGGGGACACTGTCCAGGCTGTCCTGGTGCTTTCTCACTCAGCAGCTCTTCCCCTGCCCCTCTCCCCAAGCTCCAGCATAGCAGTCCCCACTCTTTAGTGGGGTCAGTGTCAGCACAGAGCTCCTGGACGCGGGCCACTGTGCCCTGCAGGCCTGGGGTACCCTCTGGAAGGGCCTGCATGTCTTAAAAGTGGCCAAGTGCTGATGTTCACAATACCCTGCAGAACTGAGCAGGAAGGACCATAGGGGCCAAGTCAAGGGCCTGAGGTACACAGCTGGCCAGTGGTAGAGTCAGAGCCTAGAGCCCTGTACCACCACCCTGTCTCATTGGTTCCCCATGCTGGGCACCAGGACCAAGTGACAGCATCTCCTGAAAACTGGTCAGAAATACAGGTTCTCAGGCTCAGCAGTCCATTTCTGCAGGCTTCCTGGTGAGGGGTTGCAGACATGGTGTGTCCTGCCCTCTGCTCTGAGCTCTACCCCAGCCCTCCCAGGGAGCACACTGCTGAGAGGGGCTGGACCCTCAATGCTTTCACATCTCCCCGTCGAGGGTCGGCATCCCTCCCACGGACGGTGCTGGACTCCCGGGTGGTGCTGACCCCACACCCCAGCAGACTCCCCCCTCCAACCCACCCCTTCCTCTTCCCTGCACGGACTTTCTCAGCAAACACCTGACGAAAGCCACAAGCCATTGCCAGTTGAGCCACAAGCAAGAGATCCAAAGCACCTTCCTTGTCGAAGGCCCTGCACTGAGCCCAGAGCCCAGGCTTCCCAGCCCAGCACGCCACAGCCACTGAAGGGCTTAGCAAGCAGCCCCCAGCCCTCCCCAAGCATGGCCTTCCCAGGCTGTGGGGTGCTTGGCACCCACAGTGGGCATCACCAACCTCCCCATAGGACCAAAGAATCCGTGACTGTAACATGCGGTTAGACCTGTGCCCACTGGCCTGGGAAGCCTATTGGGCGGCCTCAGGAGACCCCACCTGAAGCCGCCTGGCTGTCTTCCATCCTCAGGGTAACACCATCGAGTCGGAGCACCTGTCGGAGCTGACTGAGGAGGAGTACGAGGCCCATTACATCAGGCGGCAGGACCTCAAAGGCTTCATGTGGCTGGACGTCAAGTACCTGAACCCCTTCTTCACGAGGAGGCTGACCCAGGAGGTGTGTTCCTGAGGCCCCCCTTTGCCCCATGCCCCATGGTACCCCACTGCCCCCTCACACCTGCAGGGGCCCCACAGGGAAGGGACAGCCAGACGAGTCCGCCTCCCCTGCCACTCTCCTTCCTCACAGAGCTGCAGTTCAGCAGCTGCTGTCTCTCCTTTGCTGCTGTATTTCGTGGTGGGTCAGACACAGTTTTTCTGATTGGCAGACTCGGGACATTGATCAGCTGAGTCTGAGCGGAGGGGTTACATGGAGGCCTCAGGTGGTGACTCAGGTTCAGGCCTCTGTTTGGTCCCTCTGGATGACAGCGTGTGACAGCCTGTCTCAGGGGCAGGGAAGAGCTCACGCCTGCTTTGCTCAGACCTCCAGCCTACCCTGTGGAGATTCAGGAGGTGCAGCTGGGCCAGCCACCCCACCTTCCCCCCTGGTCTGGTCCCACCAGGACTGCCCTCAGCATGGAGCTTGTTACAGCTGAGCACTGCATTACTGCTCCTGGTTGGTCCAGGTCATTCAGACAGCAGCTCTTGCTGTAGATGTGGCTGTGAGCTCGCAAGACAGCTGGGGAGACTGAGGCCCAGAGAGGTGAAGTGACCCACCCGAGGTCACACAGCCTCTCAGGAACAGAGCCCCAGAGTGTCAGATTCCACAAGTCTATTTCTAGCATCACATCATCCTGCCACCTACTCCCCTATTTCTGAGGACATCTCCTAGTAGCTCTACCCCCTCAAAGAGAAGTCCCAGCTCCTCTTGGTCTACGCATGTAAAACTGACTTGTGGTCATTCACCTTAATTCTGCTTGACACACCCACCCGTCCACCAGCACCCCTACTGGCTCTGCCTCTGCTCAGGCCCCAGGTCTGATGAGGACTTGATTGTGTCTCTCGGCCCAGGACCTCCATCATGGCCGCATCCAGATGAAAACGCTCACCAACAAGTGGTACGAGGAGGTGCGTCAAGGCCCCTCCGGCTCCGAGGAAGATGAACAGGAGCTGCTGTGACCTGTGGCAGCCAGCCGCCTTCCCACTCCCAGGAGGGGCGTTTGCTGCCTGCAGACACCCAGCCAGGGCCACCAGGAGCAGCTCTGCAGAGGGGGACAGTGGTGGGGTCAGGCTTCAAGCCGTCCTGCCAGGACTGTGGCCCACGAAGCCAGCAGCCTCCTCTCTCCTCTCGTTGAGTCTGACTCTGCTCTCAGACTCACTTTCCAGCCCACAGACTGGGGTGATCTCAGCCCAGGTAGAGCATCTGCTGCCTCTGCAGCCTGGACGGAGTGTTGCTTGCAGGCTGGTACCTGGGAGCAGGAGTCCTGTGACAGCGCCGACCTGGCTCCACGCGGTGGACAGGATTGCCTGAACCCCCACCTCGTGGAGGTCTAGGCCCAAGCCCCTCCTGCTGGGATGGATGCGAACCCGCACCCAGCACGGCAGAGGGAGGAGCCAGCCCTCTGGATACCATGGCATCCGGGTCTGAGCAGTGCAACCTCCGTGGCCAGCCTAGAAACCTGTACAACCTCATCATCCCACGGAGACTGTCCGTGCCTCACTGACCAGCCAGCAGGTCAGTCGCTGGGATGGGCAGCTGCAGCCTTCTCTGGAAACACAGCGTGTTGACACTGGTCCGTCCAGGGTGCAGGCCTTCTCCAGAACCCAGGCACCATGGCCCCGGTCAGGAGGGAGCCGGCTGTGGGGTCGGAGTGCCCTCTAGAGGGAGTCGCCAGAGGTGCAGGGTTCATGGAGGCCAGCAGTGGCGGGTGGTTTATTCAGTTCAGAGTCTTGCACTTTTACATGGTGAGAGCCCAGCAGTCACTTATGGCCGCCTGACCTCTCCTCCACCACGACTGCCCGCCTCCTCGTCTGTCCACTGGAAATCTCTGTCCCCGGGCTCAGGGTTTACCAGCCGCTACCTTCTCGGCGTACTGGAATTTCTTCCACCTCTTCCTCTCCCAGTTACCAAACATCTTCCATCCTAGTGGTGCCTCCAGCTGGGTCCACAGGTCAGCAAAGCACAGGACAGAGGGCCTGACCTGGGGCAGCACCAGGGCCTGGCCACCAACCCTCCACACCACTAGGACCTCAGTGCCTGGTCACCTCCTCTCCCACATCACTAGGACCTCAGTGCCTGGAGTCTGCACAGCCTGTGACCCCAAGCCAGCCAGGACTGCCCCAGGCTTGTCACTGTGCCATGCATGTGCACACACTGCTCTCTCTGCTGTCACACACACCCGCTCTCCCCTCTGCCCCTCACGTCCCCCTCTGCCCCTCACGTTCACACTCTCCCTTGCGTCTCACACACACACACACACACAGACTCACTCACTCCCCTGTCCCACATACTCTTCATTCTGTCTCACACTCGCTCTCTTGGCGCCACCTCCTAGGCCAGCACAGAGGGTGAAAGACGGCCATTTATGTGCAGATGGAGTAGAGCCAGTGTCACATCTTCCCGAGACCGTCCTTCACTGAGCCTCATTCCTGCTTGCCTGCCCATCTGCAGGTGGGGACAAGGCCCACCTGTGGTTCTGGGTCACAGCTAGTACCTTGGACTGGCCTTTGTCTGCCCTCGGGTGGTCCCATGTATATGTTTTATTGGGACAGAGTGGCCCCTGAGCAGGTGCCAAGTCTGTCTCCATCTCTCCTGCCTCAGGCAGGAGGTTCTGGTGCCAGGAGGAACTGGCTGCAGGACCCTCGGGGCCTCCCACACTGTTGTGAGGTTGCACCCGATGTTACCACCTTTCCTTCCCAGAGGCAATGAGGCCCTGCAGGCAGGAAGCAGGGACTTCATTTTTTTATGCATGAAAAGTCAGTTTGTACTGAATAGAGCAAAAATAGAATCATTTCTCTGTTGTAATCTCCCACCTTAAATTAGCCCCTTCATTTTGAACTAAAACAAGTTTTGTACCCACCTAGTAACCGACTGAAGGCCCCGCTTTGCATAATTGGGTCTCCATCACTTCCTGTCAGTAGAAAGAAGAGTGAATGTGGGGTTAAGGGGCTGTGCCCACAGCTGGGGAGCCCGGCCTGCTTCAGGGGTCAGGTGGAGGGTCTGAGGCCAGAGCCCTGACCTCGCTTGAGAACACGAGGCCCCTCCTCCTGTGTAATTCAAGGTCTGAACTCAGAGTGCAAATTGCTTTACAAACTCACTTTTTTTGCCAGCATCTTTTGTTTTCATTTTTTGGGGAGTGCTGAGATTAAGCAGTGAAATGTCAGGGTCATTTCAGTTCAAAGTGTCCCTTGTCATCAAACCACGATGTCAGGCCGCCAAGGTAGAAGACAGATCCTCAGGGCTTTTTGTGGGGACTCCTTTCCTGGAGGGAAGGCACCAGGACCTGCATGTCACCTGTGAGTCTCTCCTGCCCCCTGCTGGCTGGGCAGCCCAAGTTCCCAGTGGTCAATGCCTTCGGAGCAAAAAAAGGCCCAGGTGTTTTTGTGGTGGGTTTTTATTGTGTTTGTGGGTTTGGTTTTGGGGTTCCAAAAAAAAATACTTGACTCCAAATCAGAAAATCATTAGTATATTTCATAATTCTGTGATTTGGGTGGAGTTAATGCCTCAAAGAGGGAAAGAGCCCTAATTTCTTGCCTGTTGCTTTAAGTCTAGGCCACAGTTGCAGAGAAATGTTAGACAGGGACCCTTCGAGTGAATGGGCTGGAGGGTACGAAGGTGGAGTGGGACCTTTGACAAGGCAGCTCACAGTGGCAGCCCACGCCTAGTCCCTCCAGAGCAAGCCTTGCTGTTTTATACCACTTAATGGAGTAAGGCACAGACTTTCTGTAACCTTGTGGTCACAGGACCCCCAGAGGCTTGAGGCCTTATCAGGAAACAAACTGACTTCCCCCAGGTCCCCTGAGGTGGCGTTTGTGGTGGGCTGGCCAAGCATCAGGTCAGAGCTGAACCCTCAGTCGCCCTAGAAGCCAGCTACTGCTGCACACCTGTTGGGGCAGAAGGGCAGGCCTGGCCCAGAACATTCGTTGTTGGTCTTGTTCATCAGCAGATGGCAGGGCCCTCTGTGTTTATGGGAGGCCCCTTCAGCCACCAGAAGTCCAGCCTCAAAGGGCCCAGCTCTCACAAGGCAGCTCCAGCCAGGCCCCCGCTGGGGGTCCATTCAGTGCAGTGCAACCTGGTGGGACTGGTCTCTGCAGGAATCCTGTGCAATGAAGTAGGACTTCACATGCAAAACAGAAAGCTCCCCCGTGACCCCCTTCTCCCTTTCTCTGGAGGCCTCTCCTGCTGCTTGGTGGGAGGGTACCAAACCTGAAACAGGTCTGATGCAGCAGCCAGAATCATGAAGTTGTACTGTGTTACGTGAAACACCAGAGTCTGAGGTAGCACGCCTGTTCTTCCTCAAACAAGAGAGTAGGGACTTCCGCACCTGTACCACAGGGACCTTCCCACTCCTTTCCACCCGACTTCATGGTCCCGTCACACAGCAGCAAGGATGATAACCCTCCCCATAGGGGCAGGGTCTTTGTGGTGAGGGTCCTGGTTCAAGTCTCAGGCAGGGGTTGATGGCAGAGATGGATAGTAGCAGCCTGTGTTCACCTGACCCGCACCAGGGGAGCCAGAGTCACACCCGACCAAAGGATTCCACATTCTTCTCCAGATGTAGCTCCTGCAAAGCTTAATTTCTCCTCAAGTTAATCAAAACTGTGTTTGCTTTTTAGTGATTTTGCTTGTAAAAGCAGAAAACCTCTTTAACCTTGAGGAGGTCACTCTGTGGCCTGGACTCCCGAGGGGTTTTCTGCTGCTTGTCTGGGCTGGAACTTTGCACTGGGGTTGGGGAAGGGCCCTTCACAGATGTGGGGGGGCTAGTAACTGCCCTGCTGCCCTCAGCAGCTTCATCACTCTGGACTCTTGAAAGATTTTTTAAATGGAAGGGACAGTCATGCCACTGGGTATTTATTTATTTAGAAATAAAAATGAATGCTGCTGAATCCAGACTGAACTCTGTCTTCACACTGAGGGGACTTTAACAAAGTTGGGGTGCGGGAAATGCTGGGGGAAGACCCAGGCAGTAGTTTATTTATACTCCACAGACTTCCAGAAGGCATTGAAGCTGCCAGTGGTAACAGACACAAACCAAAAAATGTGTGTGGTATAAAAGTGAGCCCAGGCAGGAGAGCCCCTGCTGACCCCGGTATACTGGGCAGTGAGGAGGGAAGAGCAGGACCTCTCCCTTCTCATCCAGCCCCCCTTCTACAGCCACATCCAGACCGGAACCAGCGCGGCCACACTGGGCAGGGGCAGGGTGGGGAAGGACACGGCACCTCCCAGCCCCCAAAGACCCACCTGGTGGGGAATACGCACCAATCCGTGCCTTTGAGTGGGGCCATCAACTCTCTCCCTCTCTGCACTGTGCCTCCCTTACTAACGTTAACTCACCGCCCCCCGAAGCATCCTGTCTACTCGGGTTGCTGCTGTCAGTGTGATTCCCTGTAGACAGATCTTCAAAGAGCGTGATGCTGCAGGCAGCTGTCGTCCCACTTACAGTGGAGCCTTGACTTCAGAGAAGCACAGTGTTCCTGCCCTAAGAGACCGTGCAGGGGACAGGAAAGGAGCTGACATGGCCCCAGGGCCAGGGAGGCAGGGAACTGGGGTTTGCTGAGCCCCGGGTCACCTGACCTGTCAGCAGAGACAGCTCACAGCAGAGCCTGCCGCCGAGGGTACTCGGTCACACCAACCTCCTCTTCCCAACCTGGAGAAAAAGCTCAGGGAGATGTCAGAAGGTTGCACGGTGGGGGTCAAAGGTGACCCTCAGGTCCTAGAGCAGGGGATCTAGGGGGGAAAGCAGGTCTAGAGGGTGAGCCTCTTGGCCTTGAACTTAGTCTGGCTGATGGAGCAATAATGCCTTGGGGATGCCTGGCTCTCCCCTCAGAGACCACTCAGAAACCAGGGGCCCAGCCTGTGCAGAGGGACTCGGGCAGGGAGGCCAGTGGGCTTGGGGGCTGAGACCCAGGGCCTGCGCGTGTTTCTTTCAATGCACAGGACACGAGGACCGTGTCATGTA